GCCGGGCACTACTGGGACATCACCGGGACAGCGCCGGGCACCACCAGGCATCGCCGGGCACTACCGGGACATCACCGGGACATCGCCGGGCACTACCGGGACATCACCGGGACAGCGCCGGGCACCACCAGGCATCGCCGGGCACTACCGGGACATCACCGGGACATCGCCGGGCACTACCGGGACATCACCGGGACAGCGCCGGGCACCACCAGGCATCGCCGTGACAGCGCCGGGACACCGGGACATCACCGGGACACCACCAGGCAGCACCGGGAACCCACCGGCCATCAGCGGGACATCACCTGGACACCACCGGGCCACTACCGGGCACCCCGGGACACCCCCCGGTGCAGCCGCCATGGCCCCGCGGGGCCGGGACCGCCCGTGGGCGCTGCCGCCGCTGCTGCCGCTGCTGCTGCCGCTGCTGCCGCTGCTCCTCCCGCCGGCCGCGGCCGCCGCCCGGCCCAACTTCGTCCTGGTGCTGGCGGACGACCTGGGCTTCGGGGACCTGGGCAGCTACGGGCACCCTTCCTCGGCCACGCCGCATCTGGACGGGCTGGCGGCCCGCGGGCTGCGCTTCACGGACTTCTACAGCAGCGCCGCCGTCTGCAGCCCCTCCCGGTACGGCCCCGCAGCGCCGGGAGGGGAGCGGCCCGCCCTGCTCTCACCTGGGCGGCCCCACCTGCAATACCGGGGCGGGTTGGGGCAGTGTAAGGAAGAGATTGAGCCATTGGAGAGTGTCCAAAGGAGGGCAAGGAGGGTGGGGAAGGGCTTTGATTGGAAGCTGTGTGAGGACACTGAGGGCACTTGGTGTGTTCAGCTGGAGAAGACTGAGGGGACACCTCACTGCAGTTCCGACTGCCTGGGCAGGGGCAGAGGAGGGGCAGGGACTGAGCTCTGCTCTGGGGGGACCAGGGACAGCACCCAGGGAGTGGCTGGAGCTGTGTCAGGGCAGGGTCAGGTTGGATCTCAGCAAAAGGTTCTTCCCCTAGAGGGTGGTTGGGCACTGACCAGGCTCCCCAGAGCAGTGGGCACAGCCCCAAGGCTGCCAGAGCTCCAGGAGGGTTCGGATGACCCTCTCAGGCACAGGGTGTGACTCTTGGGCATGGTCCTGTGCAGAGCCAGCGGTTGGACCGGACGATCCTTGTGGGTCCCTTCCCAGCCAGCATATCCTGTGACTCCGTAATGCCAGCAGGGAGTGTCCGTGCCGGGAGGGACGGGCAGTGGATAAACCTGACAGTGTGACAGTCCAGGCTGACAGGATTCTCCTCCCCTGCAGGGCAGCCCTGCTGACGGGCCGGTTCCAGGTGCGCTCCGGGATCTATCCCGGCGTGTTCGACCCGGGCTCGCGGGGGGGGCTCCCGCTCTCCGAGGTCACCGTCGCAGAGGTGCTGAAGGCTCAGGGCTACGCCACGGCCATGGTGGGCAAGTGGCACCTGGGCGTGGGGGTCAATGGCTCCTTCCTGCCCACCCACCAGGGGTTTGACCACTTCCTGGGCGTGCCCTACTCCCATGACCAGGTGAGGGGACTGGTGAGCCCTGCTGCGTGGGGACGTGTGTCCCTTGTGGTGGGACAGAGTGGGTGGGTCACCTTCTGGGCTACAAAACAGTTGCTGCCAGGAGAAAACGCTGTCGGGGCAGCACAGTTCTGGGACAGTTTTGGGGTGGGAAAAGACCTCTGGGCTTCTGGGAGTGGCCACTCAAAGGGTGCTCATCATGGTGGGTCGCTCTGAGACTCTTCGCTCCTCTTCCTTCCCTTCCCTGTCCTGCAATGCAGTTCAGATCCCAAGTTCTGTGTCCTCTCCAGGGCCCCTGCCAGAATCTCACCTGCTTCCCACCCGACATCAAGTGTTTTGGGACCTGTGACCAGGGTGTGGTGCCGCTCCCGCTGCTCTGGAACCAGACCATCATCCAGCAGCCCGTGTCCTTCCCTGACCTGGTGCCACTCTACAATAAATTCTCCCGGAACTTCATCACTTACTGTGCCCAACGGGGCCTCCCCTTCCTGCTCTACTACGCCTCCCATGTAAGAGAGGGCTGGGGAAGGGAAGGGAGCCTCTGTCCCCTGGGGAGAGCAGGGGAGCACCTCCACTCCTGCAGCCCCAGAACCTGCCCCCCGGTGACCTGGGATTGCTGTTCCCACACAGAGCTGGGTCTTGTGGGATAATGCTTTGGGGGTGCTTCTTTCTGGAGCTTTGCCCACTTCTCTGGGCCATCCACTGGGGAGAACTTCCCACTCTGGGGTTCCACATCCTGTCCTGGGCTCAGCTGCTTTGTGCCATTACTGGGAGCTGCTTGGGGACAAGTGTCCTCTCAGCTCATGGGTGTTGTCACCTCTCTCCATGTCCTCGCTGGGGTGCTGCCTGTTCCTGCTGGGAGCTGTGGGGGCTGGTTCCCACCCTCTCTGCCTTTCCCCAGCACACCCACTACCCCCAGTTTGCCAGCCAGGAGTACGCGGGGCGGTCCCGGCGGGGCCCCTTCGGGGACGCGCTGGCGGAGTTCGACGGCTCCGTGGGACAGCTGCTGCAGGCCCTGCAGGAGAACGGCCTGGAGAACAACACCCTGCTGTTCTTCACCTCTGACAACGGGTCAGTGGGCTCGGCAGGGGGGGCTTTGCCACTGCCGTGGGATGGGGGGTAAGGCAGCGGTGGGGTCGTGGGGTGGCACTGCCAGGTGAGACCCCGGGGACACGAGGTGGGGCAGGAGGTACCCAGTGCACGATCTCTTCTGTGTCCCTGTGACCCAGCTGGGCCAGAAACCTCACAGGGGTCAGGCCAGGAGTGGCAGCAGCCCAAATATCCCCCAATTCCCTTCGTGTGTGGGTGACATTGGCCTCTGGTGCCCTGCTCAGGTGTCCCACACACCTTGGCTCCTGCACCTGCCCCATAAGGCTGAGCAGGGTGGCACCAGGTCTCGCTGGTCGTGGCCCCGTTTGGCAGCACCAGGGGAGGGGCAGTGGGAACCCGTGGCCCTGATGGCAGGTGGTTCTTGTCCCCAGCCCCTCCACCATGCGGATGGCACGAGGAGGCAGCTCCGGCCACCTGAAGTGTGGCAAGGGCACGACGTACGAAGGTGGCATGAGGGAACCAGCGGTGGCTTATTGGCCAGGCCGGATCGCCCCAGGTGAGCCTTGGCACTGCCTGTGCCAGCCCGGGCAACTCAGCCATCCCAGGTGGGATTGAAGTGGGGATGGCCGGGATGGGAGTGGGATCAGGGGCTTGAACTTTTCCTTGTGCCAGGAGTGACGCACGAGCTGGCAAGCACCCTGGACATCCTGCCAACACTGACTGCCCTGGCTGGAGCAGCCCTTCCCAGAGTGGCCCTGGATGGCTATGACATGAGCCCAGTGCTGTTTGGGACAGGGAAGGTGAGTCCTGGGGGCTGGCTCGGCTGGCCTTGGGCAGGGAGGCTGCTGGAGCCACGTGCCTGAGTAGCAGAACCAGCTGGGATCGGGGGAGATCCATGGGCTGGCACCTTTTGTCCCGTGGACTTGCTGGGTGTCCCCAGGCTGGCAGGAGCTGTGAGCAGGGAGCCAACAAGACGCTTCTGTTCATCACCCGCCCTCCTCCCCAGCCTCACTCTGGCTGTGGGATCAGGGCTGCTCTGGGAATCCCTGGAGTGTCTGGTGCTGTTCCAGGCTCTCCTCCAGCCGGGTGGCTGCACAGGAGAGCTGAGCTCTGCTGCCTCCCCAGAGTCCCCGACAGACCATGTTCTTCTACCCTCCGGCCCCCGACCCCCTGCACGGCCCCTTCGCCGTCCGCCTCGGGAAGTACAAGGCTCATTACTTCACCCAAGGTCAGCGCTGCCCCTTCCCCGGCACGGCGGCTTTGGGAAGGGCCGG